GCACAGACCCACTGATAGTACGACATCTGGGTTATTTCCTTGCAAAATCTGGATTTTATTCTCTTGTGCCTTTACCATGACCAAATCAGTACTTCATTGTCAATGTAAATGAGATATTTAAAATATTTAAACTTTCAGTATAAGTATGTTTTTTTGTAGACTATAAGAAGTATTACTATAGATTTAGAAGGTGAACTTAATAAAACTAAATTAGAACATTTCTTACAAGATCTTTTATGGGAGAAAAAAATAAACAATAAAGAAAATAAACCAACAGAAATATTACGCCTTAAGGTAAGAACTATTACAATTGTTTTAAAAATACAGTATTTTTTTGCTAAGCTTCCCTTCATACACACAGTACAGTTTTGTCTGGACTTCATTAGTCCAATCAGGTGCAATTATCTGTGTGTATAATAACTCTAGGTTTTACATTACAGGATGTATTAACTCTAGGTTTTACATTACAGGTTTTTTTTTAACTCTAAGTTTTATATTTCAGGTTGTATTAACTCTAGGTTTTACAGTACAGGGTGTATTAACTCTAGGTTTTACATTACAGGGTGTATTAACTCTAGGGATTACATTACAGGTTTTTTTTTAACTCTAAGTTTTATATTTCAGGTTGTATTAACTCTAGGTTTTACAGTACAGGGTGTATTAACTCTAGGTTTTACATTACAGGGTGTATTAACTCTAGGTTTTATATAACAGGTTGTATTTACTTCTTCCATTACTGCTTGCATTTCCCCTAAGTTTTATATTACAGGGCATATTAACTGGAGGTTTTACATTACGGTTTGTATTTCTTCTAAGTTTTATATTACAGGGTGTATTAACTCTAGGTTTTATATCTGAAGTGAGTTAACAAATGGTTTTACAATACAGAGTGTATTATCCCAGGTTTATATTATATGGTGTATTATCTCTCAGTTTTATATAACAGGGTGTATTATCTCTCAGTTTTATATAACAGGGTGTATTATCTGTAGGTTTTACATTATTGGGTGTATTACTTCTGGGTTTTACATTACAGGGTGTATTAACACTAGAAAATGAAGATATATGTTATATTGTACAAGCTGTAAATGAATTATATGATTTTCAAACCACATCCTGGAGAGACAATCCTAAAATAAATAGATTTGTCTTTATAGGTAAGTTCACATTTAAAAATTCAATCTTATATTGTCTAAATTATCTTTGTCTTTGGAGAATGGAATGATCATTTTTCCAGGCCCTAATCTGTTTCTATCAGTAGCTCTAGTGAATCTTGTTTGTCTCTAGCCGTGATGAATTCAGAATGTTAGCTCAAACGTGGGTCTGATAGAGAAAAAAAAAATGCAAAATTAAATACAAATTTTAACATCAAATTCATAACTGAAATATGTGTCATCAACATCAGAGAGAATTTACTTAAATATTCTTTAATTTCAGGGAGAAATTTAGAGAAATCAGTTTTAGAAAATCACCTTTATCAATGTAAAGTAAAAAGCTGATGATAATTTCAGGCTGTTGTGTGAAAAAACTATCTATTTTTAGTGCTAATGATTTAGATCTGATAAAAACAATGTCAGTTCTTTGCCAATTTTTGGATGGAATCCTTCTTCTGATGTGATATTTGTGAAACACTGTATAGAAAAAATGAACACTTCAATATTTACTGTTATTTATTTAATTCTGTTCAATACATACATATGATTAAAACTACATGGATATTATATAAAACATCCCTTCAAAGTATAAAAAAAAATTAAAGCTCTGGTCTGAAAATGCTTTGTTTTGATTCTATAAATAATACTTAACTTTCCTAGACTAGGAACCGTCTTGAGGGCGATATGCATTTGAATCCATGCCTTAAGGTAAGCAAAATTATGCTTTGGCCATTGCTAGCCCAGCATGTGTCCACTTTCCATGTAGGAAAAATTAATTAATAAAATAAATGCACATATTAGAATTGTTTAAATAAAAAAACATCTTTGTACATATCACAGCATTGTAAATAAAATATCAACAAAAACAAAGAATTATTCTTTTTGGACGGAATGTTTTTGAGTTTATGTTCCATTCGCTACCTCTGGTATAATGTAAATATAGCAATGGGAAATTGTAAATACCACTTGGCACATAATTCAGTACTCTTTTCTTCAATAGCCTGTTATGAAGAAATTCTGCAAATTGGATATCCACATTTCCTAAAGCGCAATCCTTTTATTGATATTGCTACTGAGAAAACTTCCCAAATTTTTCTTAACCGAAAGTAACGAATACAACACTAACAAGCAGTGACTAAGACTTCTTCGCTGAACTTGTCCTGGATTTGGTGCCATGTGCTTTAGGTGTACCAAACTGTCTTTTACCAGGTGACCTGGAATATAAGAACCATTAAACTTGTCAGTGGTTGAACTTTCAGTGCAGTAAGAATGGAATCAACATTTAAATCCACAAAAGCATGATCTTCTGTGACTATATATCCCTTTCAACCTAAAACTTAGCGGTGCAGGGGGAGGGGGCACTGAAAATTTTATCAAGATATTATCATATCTGCTTTTTCATTTCTGGTTAAGAATATTTGCTGCTCACATCAAAAGTAAGTACAGTTTTTAAGGTGCCAGCTGCAGAATAAATATTCAAAATCTGTAGCCTTTATCACAACTAGCTACTGCACTAGGTTCAATACACTCCATGAGGTCAAGAGTAAAGAAAGTTTTTGTTTTTTTTAAATGAAAACCAGGTAAAAAATATGCTTACGTAATTTTCTTAGATGGTGTTTTTCTGGTGACAGGGGTATTTGCTTTACTCAAACAGAATGATATTTCCGAATCTTCCCTATAAATAAGTAATATATTTAACATGGAAAGAAAAGGGATAGGCTGGTATAGAATATTTCAAATGGGACATTTTTCATATCACCAACATAAAATTGAAATTTTCAATTTAATCAAAATTCCTCAACTTAAAAATCATAAAACTTGTATATTCCATCTGACTGAATAGTAAGGATTTTTAGCATCTGAAAGTTTTCAACGAGACCTTATCTTAAGCCGCTGACCAGAGCATCACATGCAAACCAATTGTCCAATCCAATATTTGTCCTTGTTATTAGACCCAACAGTTGCAGTGTCATGATTGAAAACTATTTTACATACCTGAGAGGCATAAAATCATTCTGTGACATTGATCTAGTTAAATCATACTGGTCTGGAGTTGTTAGAGGTATCTACAAAGAAATCATGTCTTAATGATATTGATAGGAAATGTATTCAAGTTAACATCCTACTTTTCTGCAATTGTTGGACCATTGGGTAACACTATTGCTAACTGTTGGGATTTTTAATTACTTCAGAGTGCTTAGATGAAAAAGGAGCAAAGTTGTTGATAGACCTCATCCAAATAACCAAATACTTTCAAGTATAGAGAGTTATAACAAATACTAGTTATATCTGTATAAAGTTCCGGTACCTGATTAGTATATTCTCTATGTATAGTATCACTAAGTTCTCGTTTCATAGCCTCCACATGTTGTCTATGTGCTACCACCTCTTCTTCTAGTGATTTGATTTTAGATGTAGCTGAATGATACACATCAATAAAGGCTGCTACCAGATTCTATAAAGCATAATCAAATTCGAAATTACCACAGACAAATAAAAAAAAAACATATATTAAGCTTAAAGCTGATAAAGGAAAGACAATAAACTAACTTGGTGAAAATTTTTAACCTTTAACCTTTTGGATTTTCAACTCGGTTTCCCCAAGTCGTCAGTGATGCAGGTCAGAGGGGCTGAGATGGAAAAAGCATCTAGTCGTTCAGATGGGAGAATAAACCAAGACTCTGTGTGTTACAGGCTGTGCACGTTAAAGATTTCTCAACAGTTGCAAATTGAAAGGGTAGGCTAATGCTGCTGTTCTGGCAAAATTTCCCTCATTGCACACTGCATGGTGTTGACTGTCTTCAACAGCCCTTTTAGGTGCAAAAAAGTAGGACCAAAAAACTCCATTCATTTCATTCTTCATCACAAAGTGTTGCTTTACTAGTGACATAATAATGAGTATACCCTAGCAACCATGACTGTTAAAACCAAGGGAGTAATATAACTTGAGAGTTCAGGGTAGATGATGTGTTATTTCATAACGCTTGGTGTTCAAATGGTTAACATGAAAACAAGTGTTACGTTGCCTTGCCCTTCCAGTATCACTTGGTACATTTAAGTACTTCTTAACCAATACTAAAATCATGAGTAAATCTAAGATTAACTGAGCAGATGTTTCAGCCATCATGCTATTGAAAGCAGGCTTCGAGAGCTTTACAAGAACACTACTGCCAAACTCTGCTACCAACAAGGCATAAGATGTAATTATTTAAGATGTACAAACCTGACAAGCTATTAATTCTGGACCAGCTTTACTGATATCACTAGGTATTAGATCAGTATTTAATAGTAACTGAGATAAAGTAACTTCACGACCTTCTGGTGATTGACGGAACTGTCTTTTACCCTGAAAAATTTGTCAAACGCCAACAAAACATGAGATGTGAAAACAAAATTGTTTTCTAGTATCAAAAGATTAATAATAATCTGACAACTGCTTCATCTACAATTAAAAACATAATTTTGAAATTTTGACTGCTGTCACTTATGTACTTGAGTTGTTTCCAAATAGGAGCCATTGATTTGTATTCATTCTGTGTACATGGTCTCTTGTTCA